TTGTACTATTGTTTGAGCTCATCCATCCATTCACCATTATTGTTGCTTATCCTAAATGCAGTTGCATTTTACGTGTGATGTGCAAAAAGTTCAGAACAATACTTGAATTGGCTACGCCGCTAGAAACCACCGTTGTACAGAATAAATATCAACAAAGAACGCAAAAATGAAGGTAAAATAAATATCACAACCAAATACTACGTGACGTATATAAATAATCAGTATTTCTAACGTTTTTATCCGAGAAGAATAAAATTTTAGTCTTTGATTTGGATGAATCAAATGTTGAGTAATGATCACCGACGATATTTTGCGCAACATTACCAGGACGTTATATTAATGCGCTTCACATCTGGCTAAAAGTAACATTGATAATATTAGTTGAAAATTATTATAAAATAGTTTTTAGTATATGTGTCTATACGCGTTATCTACATAAATCGACATAAAAAGTTATATTATAATGTACGATGTATACATAGTTACAAGTACACTCTGATATTGTTATATCAATACTTATTGATTTAATAATAATTTTTTGTTAATTTATTTAAGCATTTACTCATTAATTTCATATGAATTTAATTAATTGCTCATTTATCGACTGCATAATTATAACGATCATGTAGTCGTGAAAATGTGACACAATGTAAGGCTCATCGTGATGAAGATCGCTTGCGCACAAGTCATTTGCCTAAATGCATATAATCCGCAGCATCTATGATCACGCTGATCAAAATTGATACCGATATCATTTATTGATCACTGATGACTAATAGTCTACGATCTTTTTGAATATGATGATTAATTATCAGTGATCATGTTGATCATTGATGACTAATAATCCTTTATTATATTGATAATTTGTTAATAATTATCCATGATAATATTGATCATTGATGATTAATTATCGGTAATCATCATGATCATTGATTATTAATTACCATTGATCAAATTGGTAATTTATTATTAATTGTCTATGATCATATTGATCATTGAGTAATAATTATACGTGATCATGTTAAACATTGATAATTAAATATCTGAGACCATGTTGATAATCGATGATTAATTATCCGAGATCATATTAGTCATTGATTATTAATTATCGGTGATCACGCTGATCATTGATAAATAATTATCTGTGATCATATTGATCGTCGATGATTAATTTGTCTGCGATCGTAATATTTATTCATAATTAAATGTTCATTGACGAGTAATTTTACGAGCACAGATGACGTAACATCCGGTCGCATTATCAGAGATATCACCGGCAGACGATAATAGCCGATGTGACGTCATCGCATTGCTACAACACTGACACACAATATTACGTTCTTACAATCGGCGATAAATTACCTTAACGGTGAAATGAATGCAGCATTTCGGTAATCATGTAAACAAACATGGCGGGAATGGGTCACATGACGAGATGCACGTATTAAGCTATACAGTTTGAAGCGATCGGAATCTTGTACGTGGTTGTTGTTCTTTACTGGCGTATTATTCCAGGAAAACAAGTTATCCTACTCTGGGCGTTCGCAACAAATGTTATTGCTCTGTAGTGTTTCGTTGCGTATATGGCTATTGCGTTTAATATGCATGCAGTGCCTACCCTTGTTATCTACGGCAGCATTATTCTCCCTAATCTCTCATTATTATATCTTTATCAACTTCGTTGTCGAACCCTGTACGTTGATCTAGGTTTGTTTCGTTTACCGCAGCCTCTCCGAAGGCTCCTTGGAATCCGGAGGGTGCTCGTGGCGCCCCGTTGCGGTCGGGTAGCTCGTTTATCGTTGCTAAGGCAAGTTCCTCTCGCTCTTTCTCTTTCAGAGCCAGAGTGCTGTTCTTTATGCCGTACAGAAAGTAGATGGGGAAACCTGGAATATTCGAAAATGCATATACAATTCAAATCTGTATACAAGGCTTACTGAAGGGGAGCCGCAAATAGTTTAATTATTTTGACAGGTACCCTTTCTATAGGGGTGGTTATATTGTAAAATTGCATAAAACGCCAAACGTGTCATTTATAGTGTCTGTTTTATCGAGTCGGTTTTACTGTATAACTGCTATACGACACAAACTTTTCTTTATAGCTAAGTGACCGTTCTATAGGGTTGTCCGCTAACGTAGGCTTGACTGCAAGTATTACAGGATGATGACTAAGGATATTGTCTCGCGTGTCAGTCGCCTAGCAAAGTTATAGCCACGTTGCCATGTCCCTAATGTGTCACTATAAATAGCTGGAAATAAATCCTATATCAGGGGTGAATAATGACAAATTTGTTATTTGTTATGAGAAATATTGCGTATATATTGATAGTGTATTTTCATGCATGAACATAATATGTACGTATCCTCAAAATTATTATCCAACAAAAATTCTGAAATCTCAGCAGCCGCGGAAACAAAGCGGGCATGCATGGCGGTCTCGTCCGTTCACGCAGGCGATACATATATATCTATAATATCAGTACATAAAAGCACGTAAAAGTATCAGTATCAGTATCAGTCTATAATATCAGTACATAAAAGCACGTAAAGACTGCTAGCCGCGGTCTCTAGTCGGCGAGTTTGTGTGATAACTAGTGAGAGCAATATGCTTGTACGAGCTCGTGTTATTATAGTCGAAGCCAACACACGTATAGCCGGCGTCGTGCTGACGAATTGCCGACTGTGGGTCTGCACGAAATTCGCAAAAGCAACGACGAAACCCGCATTAGGAGCATCATGTGCCAAGCCCCGAAATACACGCCGCCGCGAGTTGCTGTCCCCTGCGCATGCGCAGCCATGAATCTCACAAGCTACATTGATTGCCCTAGCGTTCGTCGCCAGCGACCGCAACGTAACGCAACTTCTCTCACAGCGTCCAGCCAATAACAGCTCATTACGTGCGATCCGTAATAGTAACGTATACAGAACGAATAACTACGAGCACGAGCTAAATGCGGTGGGTAGACACGGCTAGACATATGAAGCAGATAAATTGTGATCGGCGAATTGTTTCGGACACTTATTTCTCGTAGGAAATGCTAGGTTTCGTGACGATAACGTGATTGATGGCTCCATAATGAAACAACAATTAACATAAAGCTTTGAGAGGAATAACCGTTAGACTGTTATTGGCTCGCGGCAAATGAATATTAATGGCACAGGTTGGTTGCTCTTGCTCTCGGGCGATAAGTGACCAATCCGACTGCCATAATTAACAGGCAACTCTAACCAAATATTGTTGCGAGAGCACGTTCCAAACCCTTGACACCGAAATGTCGCGAAATTGACAATTTTGGCGTTCACGTGTGAAAAGCTCTAGCGCAACCGCAGGGGCGTAGCCAGGGGTGATTCCAGGCATCCCCTGGTTTGTATCAAAATAGCACATATCTGATACAGTATGTATATAAAAGCATGAAACGAAAATTTTAACGAAGTTTTATTAGTATATAGTAGGTTTGGAATCCCCCCTCTTGGAAGGAATCCCCCTCTTGGAAAGGCTGGCTACGCCCCTGAACCGACCTAGCAAAAATATCCAATACAGGCTAGCTGTTTAAGAATTAGGAGTCATTCATGTTTTCTTTTGCGATGGGCACTCAAATGTATTTGTAAGGTAAAGTTAAGTGGAAAACACAACGGAAATTATCAATATATGCAATTTTTTAATTAATATAGATAGAACGACTAAAATTTATATTCAAGAATAACGACAATACATCATCACCATCATAATTAGCGTCGTCGTCGTCGTCATCATCATGATCATTATCATCATCATAATCATCAGCATCAAAAACAACAGCAACAACAACAATAACATAATAATAATAATAATAATAATCGTAATAATAAAATCGGGAAAAGTTGCCGAGTCAATGCACTCACCGATCACCATCCACACTGTCACGCGTACTAGAGTCAGCAACGACAGTTTAAACAGCAAATACGTATTGACCAAAATGGCGGCTGCAGGTAGCAGAGGCAACCCAGGTGTCGTAAACTTCAGTTTTCTTCTGTTAATACAAAGTAAAGTTATGGTTAGCGAGTGAGAGGTGAACGAATGATGTGGTGCCCATGATTAATTTGCGTAGCATCCGCCACCTATTATCTGCAATTGCATTTATTTTCAAGAAACGATCCGACAAAGAGCACTATAAGAGAGCTTTTGTTGTTGCACATATTAATTATTAACAACAAACTTTTATCTATTGGCTGCGTGTAGCAATAGAGCGTTAGCATCTGCGTAAATATGTAAATGTGACTCCCACCTGTCTCTCGATCGCCCTTTCTCTTGCTCGCTCGTTTGCTCTTTACACCACACGCCAAACTTTCTCTCTCTCTCACCTGTTACATCGCTGCCCTTCTCCTATCCCTCTCTACTGATCCCACATATTCTCCCATAACATCCCCTTCTTAATATCTCTCTCCCCCCCCCTCTCTCTCTCTCTCTCTCTCTCTCTCTCTCTCTCTCTCTCTCTCTCTCTCTCTCTCTCTCTCTCTCTTAGTTATAATTCGAACAAGTGAACATTTATGTACACATAGATACCAAGATAGAAGCTGTAGGATGTGTATTCGTGCTGTGACGGTGTGAAATGAATGAAAGCGTCGAGCGAATTTAGCTATCAAGCTTTCCTACCTGCTCTCTTATTCATGTTGTTTGTGCACAGCGCGGGCGTGCGGTGTACTTGTGTTGCAGATGAGCATTTGACCGGCATTTACAGGTGATTATAGGCGAAATAGAGTAGAGAAACATTAAGACTTTGGTAGTAAATACATATCGTGTTTATTTACCTTTTTTTTATTGAGATGTTCCAAGTGCCTGTGTGTGTGTCCCAAACTAGGATCGAGAACTCTAGCTTGAAAGCCCTTCCATTTCTGTAAGAAATGTGGCATAGATCATGTGCAGATAGAATAGTTAATTAGGTAGGTAATGTGCGAGATGTAACACACTAGCCCATGCCATAACGCAAGGTAACATGTAGAGATAAGGTAACAAGATAACTTACGTGGAACATGCAGAGCTGCCTGAGCTCGCTTTTGTCTTGGCATTTAACTCAATATCTCTATACTCGTACAGTAAGAGCTTATACGCAATATTAATGCGAAATGTCCAAACTTCCACCATGGCATTTAATAAACAAAGCTTCTGAAGTCATTAATGCGTATAATATTCACATGATTTTGTGTTTATCAACTACATATTATGATAAACACTCGGCTTGCCTTCACTTACTCAGAAAAGCCGACAGACAAAAGCTGTGAAAACCGGTAATCTTGGAACAGCGTCCGCGACTGACGACTACAGCGCCCCGGTGCGGTGCTCCACTACAACTCGCTCTCAAAGCGTAAATATTTATTTATAACTAAAAATGTAAAATGACAAATTATCAGGAGTGCATAATGCAGATATAGATCTATATTATGCACTCCTGAAATTATGTATTTTATCTGTTATAATTTTACCAGCGCTCGTACATTCTGTAACATACGGATAAGCAGTAGACCTACCTCTACAAAAAATACAGCATAATAAATACGTAATAATTAATATTATTTCAGTCAGCTCATTTATTGTCCTAACTCTTTTTAACTTTTATCATAATTTTACTAGTATGTGTTATTTATATTATTTGTACCAAGGCACAATCCTAATTGTAATACTATGTTACGTTATGTGATTTCGCGTGATTTACTACTAATTATTAACAACCTCTTACGAGTATTTGTTCCAGCTATTTATCCTAAATCGTAATGGAATGTTATGTCAATCATTTCCGTCTTAATTGTTATCTGTTACCTTCATCTTAATTGGACGAGAACCGCACAGTAATCATTTTCCTATTTGTATATTCTCTTCATCCTAATAGCACCAGCATATTTATCCCCTTGCCCCGGCATATTATGGTAATGAATCCGTATCTATATCGTGTTATATGTTACTCTAGGATGATGGGATCACGATTACCGCAAGATAACCTAACGATTTCTACATTAAGATCATGTTACACTAATAGCAGTTCTGCTAGCCCTTTATCCTAACGTAATATTTCGCATTTTTGCCAACATTTTATTCCATTTGTGCTAGAATCTCATGTGTTAACCTTTAATATTTGCGAACATCGCCCGTTTGCATTCATATCATCACGTTGCAATGTTATCATATATTTTTTTAATTCTTAACATAATTCTATCAGCATTTCAAGCCGTTTGTATAAGTATCAGTGCACTGCATATTTTGCTAAAGGTATTAATTTGCAATACTTACGTAAAAAGTAGGCCTACTTATATCCATACTACCAAGAGCGTATAAATTAAAGCTCAATCTTCTTTACACGCTCTTGGTACTACGTACACTACAGACAGTCGACAAACGTGCATACACTAGCTATTATAAAAAGCTGCGTTTGATAGCTAGAATAGATGCAGTAAAATCGGGGAAATTTCTGAACTCTTACGATGTAAACAAACTCAAGTCTATGAACATAATATGTGTTGCGTGCAATCTTCCGATCTGCTCAATCTACGAATCTGCCGACTGTGTGGCAGCCTCATTGAACTGCAGCACCTAAAACCCACACTGATAAACCTGTCTGGTAAATCGGGATCCTCTTACTTCTAATATCTATTGCAATAATAACACTATAGCTAATGTAAAATCGGTTGATGGTATGGCCGGCAGCACGAGATTGTAAGTAATATTGCTATTTTTATACCAAGTCGCGGAAACCTCTATACGTGTCAACAGGCGTATGCACGCTTATTGGCGACAATGTCTCGGTCAACGTGGCATCAACGTTATAGAAGGCAGCATCTGCGACAAGCAAACAAAAACATTCAGAGAGCACACCCAGTGAAACAAAAAGAAACGGTGATACAATATTGGCACCTGCGGGAACGCGCGAGTATGTAGGAAGGTGCAGCAATGAAAACAATCAAAAATAAATCGTACTGCGATCTAACACCGTGTAACGGGTACATTACAGTACAATTGAAATGTAATTGTACTGTAATGTGTCGTTCAAATAATCACACCGACTCCATTATGACGTGGTGTTGAACCTTGTGGTAATTAGTGTGCAACAAATCTTGTCTACCAGAACACATGGGCTGACGAAAACTACACTGCTCAAACAACAGACGACCATTAAAGCAATCCCACTACGTAACGTGCCGTAACATGCAAAAGCTGACGTCACCGTAAAGTAATCTCAACTTAAAATGGCACCACCTACACGCACAGGCCGTAAAGTTTGCTGCAACGTGGACAACGCCGCCGCAACGAACGTCGTTATCACACCGAGAACACGCCGAGGTTCCCGGTGCGGCGCGCGCGCGTGATAAGCGTGCAGGCGTCCCGCGTGCCCAACTCTACCCGTGCGGCTGCTCGGCCGACCGGAACACGATCAGGGAAGCCATACCGGAGCGCCCAGTCGAGCTCGGTGCGGCAGGGCGGCGCGCTGCAGGTAGTACGTGTGCTTCGTCGGGTAGTGCATCCGGTTGGTGACGGACGACGTGTAGATGTCGGCGAAGCGGGCGAGCCGGCGGCTGAAGTACGTCGGGTTCGTGTGCGTGCGGAAGATGCTGGCGAAGCAAGGGTTGAACATCTCCTTCAGGCTGTTCCTGCTACGCGTGAGACAGGTACGAGGTTCAACAGTCGAGAACACAGGTCGAGAGCCGACTACGTACGCCCCACGCAATGTGCTTTCAATCTATTTACACCTATACAGGGCCGTAGGCTGAGCGAATTCCTATGGGGGCAAAATTTCATGACTCAACTGT